CTCATAACCAATCCCGCTCCATCAAATATCTATTGAAAATTTGAAATATGTGAATAAGGGACATGATCACGTACTGCAGACTCTTTTGATGGCACACCTCATCAAACTGATTCAGAACTCGTGGATGAAATTACGTTGTATTATGATTGTTGGTATTTGTCATCGTGTGAGGTTGCATGGAGGTTTTTCCCTTTGACATAACATATAGAGAACCTTCTATTGAGTGACTAACATTTCATATGTCAGGTGAACAACATGTAATATTCGACGAAGATGATTCTCTTCAAGAGTTTTTTGATGCACAAGTGCAAAAGAAAATAAAATTTCTGACATGGATCGATGCAAATTAAATGAAAAATACCCTAAAACAAGAGGTCTGACCTACGATCAGTTCCCTTGGAAATTTGTGTGGAAGCAGACTAGACGTGAATGACTTTATAGGCAAAAGCACAATACAGTTGGGAGATTGCATACATTGTTGAACCATGTCATGGAACCAATATCACTTGCTCGAATACGAACAATTGACAACATTGTGTATCTCACATTCAAAGACGCGTGTAATGTATTGGGGTTCTTTGTTTATATATTGATGTTTTCCAATCAAATGTGTGCGCCACACGTGGTTTGGGAGAAAACATGGAAATATCTAAGCGATGATATTCAGCACATGCAGAGATAACTTAGGAAACGTTTACTTCATGGGTCACTAAACGGTGCTTATTAAGACTCGTGTTAATAAGCGACACATAAAATAAGCAATGTTGTAAGATCATGTTTACTTCAAAGGGTTTAAAACACCGTTTAACATTAAAATGTCCAAAATAACCATATACATACCACACAAACATTCGAGGAAGCTGTAACAATCTCAATTTCACAAAAATTTTAAATTCAATATAAAAAGGTAGATAAAAAAATGATAAAAAAAAATTAGTAACAAGATAATTTTCGTAATATCAAGGAAATATAAATCAAGAGGCTAGATTATTTTGCCACTAGTCACATAATGTTATACGTACATATGGAAGCATGGCTATAACTTGATGTATGGTCACATATAGAGATACATATACACATGGCCTAACACTCTAGAAGGGAACAAATGCATGTTGTCATCATAATATTAAAAATTTCAATGTAACACTCATCCAAACAGCATGCTATACATTTGGCTAGCCCTTGAGAGAAGAAAACAAAAGTAGCAATAGAGGAACATGCAAACTCGAATATCACGAGTTAGAAGAAAACAAACGTAAGAATAGAATAGTCAATAATAATTCTTAGTATTAAAAAGGTGCTAGTAGGCATTAGTTCTTGTGAGTCTAGAGAAAAACCACGAACAAAATGACACTAAGGAAAGTAAAGAGGGAGAGGGCCGCGAGATAAGATGCAAAGGGAGGAGAAGCCGGGAGAAAAGAGGGGATAAAAAGCATAGGAGGAAACTAAGAAGTAAAAATCTTGCCTAAAATTTTGAGGTTTGTGTTCATTCCCTTCTCAACTTAAATCATACGTAGTATTTAATAAGCTCTATAATTTTATCACATTTATATCTTCCTGAAATGCATTGTTTAATAATATTGTCATTTCGTCCTACTATGACACTTAGTTATATTGACATGTTTTACTTACATTTTGATGAATTATCATTTGAGAGAAATGCTTTAATAATTTCGATTTAAAGGATTACCTGTTTTAAGTATTCAAGAAATGGATAGTAAATATCATAATGTAGTGATGATAGTTATTGATTCAGAAGTTAACTATATTATTCTAAGAACTGATAATTTTGTTAATTCGATTCTTAAATAGTAAATATACCTATTATTAGTTAGAGAAGTTTTATATTACTTGAGATTCATTAATTTGTAGATTTATGACTTATAATTGAAATATGAATCAATACTTTTATTTTACAAAGATTTCTTCCTATTGTAAAGAAGTTTGTACGAAGTATTATTCAGTTTTTTTTATTTAACTATAATTAAGTTATGTTATTTATAATAGAAAAAGGAATTAATACATATTTTATTTTCGGAATAACATATAATGAATAACTTTTCAGACTTTACGAGTAGAATAGAAATTTCAGATTTATATATATGCCTATTAGGGAAAGTTTCAAACTAAACTATAAACCAATTCAAGGCCACCTGTTTACTTTAATTAAACTTCGTACCTTGTTATGATTAAGAAGAAAGCTTTTATAAACCCACACTATATTATAAAATACAGATTTATAATTACGTACAATATGCATTTCGAAACCTATTATTATGGATCTAATTTGTTAAATGATATCATAGTATAAATAATTAATTCCCGTTAAAATAATAATACTAATAATATGAAGTGTGTTTTTGTCTAACTAATTAAGTTTGACTTCGAAAGTGATCCAATTGATATTTTCAAATGGCGAATATATGTATACTGTTAAAACCAACTCTTAAAAAGTTACGTTAGTCACAGTTTTACCAGAAAAACTAATTAAATTTTCATAATAAAATTCGTATTCCAAACGGCACACAGTAACGTAAATTGATATTTTAAAACTGAAAACTGTATTTAAAATAAGTTGTGTTCCAGAAACTTTACACATAAGTTTTTGTTAGGAATGCCATTTAATTTAATAATAATCACAGGCATAGAAGCAACAAGATCAGATCACTGAATAGGAGTAATGAATAAAAAGGAAATTGAAACATTGTTTTGGATTGGATAGGTTGGCATGCCAATAGGGATAGTTAATACGGCCGTAGAATTTGATCGTTTAGGGTCCGCAGCCACAGAGTGGACAGTACCAAAACGAAAGGCCTGACCCACACAACGGTCAGTGCTGATACTATAACGAAAATCTTGAACTTTGATCGTTTAGGGTCCGCAGCCACAGAGTGGACAGTACCCAAACGAAAGGCTTGACCCACACAACGGTCAGTGCTGATACTACTCAGATGGTCCGCAGCCACAGAGTGGACAGTACCAGATGAGGAATGTCCCGTTTATCCAGCCCATTAAACTCAGGAGTAAAATTTCTGAAAATAAGAAACGTATAGAAATTTGATTTGGAAATGCAAATTGAAAAAAAAATGGTACGTTGAGAAGTGGAAAATGCTAAGTGCATAAGAAGTATACTTTAATTTGTTATACTATATATTCTGAAAAATTTGCAAAAAAAAAAATTGATTTCTGTGAACAAATTGTGTTAACATTTTGATGACGTACATATTATTAAGCTACATTAGCTATGAAGAAAGTTGTATTCTTAATTAATTCAGACTTATAAGCTATTTTGATATTAAATTGTTACAATTTATGTTGATTATTCATTGAGAAAGAATGAACACCACTAAGCAAGATTTGCTTAGCGCGTTGGATTTTTGTCCTTCGCGTATGTCAATAAGCATTACGAGGCGGAACTCAAGTCGGGATGCAATTGGGAGCAGCAGCCAATCATCAAAGAGTCACATCTGCATATTAGTAATCATCCATCTCTAGTTGCATAATAAGTGCTCATTTAGCATATTAGTGTGTGAAGTAAATAAAAATGGGAATGGTTATATCTCATGGATGTATTTGGTTATTCCAAAAATCCAGAATTACTTGTGTAATATATTTATGCTTCCGCAATTTATGGACTTTGATAAAAACTAATATTATTATTATTCTCATTTAAATTCAACTAAAATATTTCAACAAAATAATTAGTTAGTCAACGCTTTGGTGCTGCGGCACTGCGGGTAGCACTCCCTGCCCGATCCGTCTGGGCCGGGTAGGGGGTGTTACAGAAGCGGTCCAGCTCAGCTGGTCGCCGACTCACTCTCCCTTGTGGGAGGTCCCGGGTTCGAAACTCAATGGAGTGAGTTTCAGCCTAGTTTACTCCAGGCTCCCCAAATCCCCCTCCCCCAGACACCCCCTTGAGTAAAAAAAACGGCACACAAACATTCATGAACACAAGTATATAATATAATATGTGGGGTCACCTCGTACGTGTACCTCCCATACCCCTAACCCTTACCTTGCCCTATACCCCACCCACCCCTACCTCTACCCTGCACCCTACACCCAATTCAACACCTTTGACCCCTACCCCTACTCTTACCACGGCCTTACCCTCTACCCCTACTCCCTTACAATCCTTCAAACCCACCCATACCCCTAACTACCGAGTGAGGTCGGGGTAGGGTCGAGGTAGGGGAAAGTGGTAGGAGTAAAGGGGGTACAGAAGGTACAGGCGGGGTGGGGGTGGGGTAGGTGGAAAGGGCTAGGGGTGGGGGTAGGATGGTGGTAGGGTGGGGTCGGAATCGGTGTGGGTCGAGGTAGGGGCAAGTGGTAAGGTGTGAGGTAGGGTTGTGGTTAGGGGTAAGGGTGAGTAGTCGGGTAGGGGTAGGGTAGGGGTAAGGGGTAAGGCATTTGGGTAGGGGGTGGGGTAGGGTCGTTGTATGGAAAAGGGGTACGCGGGGGTGGGTGGGGTAGGGGTCGGGTAGGATAGGGGTAAGGTACGAGGATGGAAGTAATGGGGAGGGTGGGGTCGGGGTGGGTAGAGGGGTAGCAGGTAGAGGGAATAAAGTAAGGGTAAATTTGGAAACTAAAAAAGGTTAAAATGCCGCTTAATTTTTTTTTATTTTTTTTTTATCCCGGAAGGCAAACCACCAAAATCAGTGGGACATATGCCGGGAGACATATGCCATAATTTTATTAAAAAGGTAGATAGTACATAAGGAAGGGGACTAGGCCAAAACTTCCTTCAAAAATTTTAACAACATTAAATAAATGAGAGCAAGAAAAGACGAAAATACAATGAGCAAGAAAATTAATGACGAAAATAAAAAAGGCCATAATTATCAGCACATAAAGCCTTTTTAATAGTACTATGCAATTCATTAATGGAAAAATAAGCCTGAAGTGAGCTGGCATCAGGATTGCATCTGGATAGGTAGTGAGCTGGCCAATTTTGCTCCCTAAAAATATGCCCAAAAGATATATGATGCTCAACTTTCCAAATTCTCATCTGTTCGAACAAGCCTCTCCATCTCCTAGTCTGCAAACCATCTTCAATCGACCTGATAACCTCCAAAGAATCGGATTCAACTTCAAAATCCCTAAAACCTTTCCCAATAGCCCAAGACACAGCTGTATAGAGAGTATGCGTCTCAGCTTCAAGAACCGACCTTGCTTCAACGGGAAAGGAAATCGCCCAAACGAAATTCCCAGACTTGGAACGCATCACCGCCCCACCTGTAGCTTGACCTTGAAAGAGAGAGGCATCTACATTCAGCTTAAAGCTCGAAACAGGTAAATTCCACCTCACAACTCGATATCTGCGTTCAATCTTATTAAAAGAATCAGAAATGAGATTTTCCTCAAAAAGCATCCTTGCTGGGCTCGCTTTAACCTTCTGTAGCTTAGCTCTTGACCAATCTTGTATGAATAATTTGATTTTGTGAATAACAAAATTTATTGGCTTGGGTTTCTGTAAATCCCCCCAAATCATAGCAGCATACATTTTCCACAAATGCCAAACAACAAAACCAGGAATTGTATGCTTATAAATGTCCAGCAAAGATGTAGAACCTGCCTCTAGCCACCAGGAAATTAGAATCTGTCTAATGGAAATATTTTCAGTAGGAAACCAGATGCCAAAGATGCTCATAAAGTATTTCCATATTTGTTTCGAGTAGGAGCAATAGAACAAAACATGATTCATAGAATCCGAAGTCCTCTTACAGAAGGGGCATATTGTAGGAAAAATATTCAGACCAAACCTGATTAAATTATCAGGGAAGGGGAGAATTCTGTGAATAATTTTCCACTGGCATAGCTTAATCTGTATAAGTTGTTTCTTATGCCAGGAGTGTTGAAAGGAGAAGGTCTCAGACTGTTTCTCTCTGATTAATTGGAATGCAGAGCTTAAAGAAAAAACCCCATTATTTTCAGGTTCCCAGATTACAGTTCCATTATCATCCACTGATGTCGAGGCCAAGCCTACCTGATCAATAGCATAAACCCTCTTCCAAATGGCTGAATCATAAGATTTAGGACACCTATCCGTTCCTTTAGGGTATTTCAACTGACAAAATTTAGCCCAAAAGGATGTTTGACATTTCCACTTCCACCATAACTTTAGGGAGAAGGCCTTTTCAATGTCAGACAATGCTCTAATCCCTAAGCCACCTTCTTGAGTAGGTAAGCAAAGATGTTTCCATTTCAGCCAGTGATAATTCTGTTTATTAGCTTTAGAACCCCAAAAGAAGTTTGCCATCTTTCTTTCTAGGATCCTAATAACGGACTTAGGAAGAGTATCAACTGCCAAAATATGTAATGGGATAGTGTTAAGCACATGTTTGATTAAAATCAACCTACCCCCCTGATTTAAATTCCTTTGCTTCCAGACTGTGAGCTTTTTATCAAAAGCTTGAATAATGTTGTTACAATAGCTAAGCCTGTTTGTACCCTTGTGCAGGACTGCCCCAAGATACTTCAGCGGGAGATTAACTTTTGTCATTCCCAACAGCTTCTCAATTCTTCTAATTCTGGGAAGTTTAGCCTTACCACATGCAAAACTACTCTTAGCATAGTTTATGGCCTGACCAGAGGCTCTTTGATAAAGATCAAGAAACTTTTTCAAATTCAGAAGAGTTCTATCTTCTCCATTTAGAAAAATAAGAATATCATCTGCAAAACAAAGATGAGTGACAGCTTGACCATTCCTCCCCATCCAGTAAGGCTTAATTTTAGCATGATAAGCCATAGTCTTTAATCCTCTAGAAAGAGCTTCAGTAGCAATAATAAACAAAAAAGGGGAAAGAGGATCCCCTTGCTTGACACCCCTGGTTGGCTTAAAAAAACCTTTGGGAACACCATTTATCAGGATAGAAAAGCGGGTAGCTTTCAGATGATTCAAAACTAAATTAATAAAAGAGGGAGCAAATCCAAACTTAGATAGAATAGCCTCTAAGAAAGGCCAAGACAATCTGTCAAAAGCTTTTGCCATATCCAGCTTCACCACCAAATTAGTACCCCAAATCTTCTTATCAATGCAATTAATCATCTCTTGGGCAACAAGAATATGATCTGAAATATCCCTCCCTTGCATAAATCCAGCTTGTTCCTGTGAGATGATCTTAGGAAGCAAATTCTGTAGCCTGGAGACAAGGATTTTAGTACATATCTTACTAAAAAAATTTGATAAGCTAATAGGTCTGAATTCTGAAAAAGATGAGGGCTTATCCTTCTTAGGTATCAGTACAATAAGGGAACAGGCCATAGCTTGAGGAATATGGTTGCCCATAAAGAAATCTTGTGCAGCTCTTACCACATCCTCACCTACAATGGGCCAACACTTTCTGAAAAAAACACCATTGTAGCCATGTGGCCCAGGGGCCCCATTTTTATTAAGTTCCCAAACAGCTTTTTTAACTTCATCCATATTAGGCATTTGCATCAACATATTATTCTCACTATCATCAACTAATTCGGGGATATATTGCAGGATATCATCAACATCCTGAACGGGTTCCTCTGCAAAAATATTAGAGAAATATTCCTCAGCTGCTCTCCCAATTTCCTCAGAATCAGAGCACCAGACTCCAGAAGAATCCTTAATGGTAGAAATGTATTGCTTTTTTCTTCTTAAATTGACAATAGAATGAAAGAAACTAGTATTAGCATCCCCTTCTTTCATCCATCTGATATGAGCTTTTTGCCTCCAAAAAGTTCTTTCCTGCTTAATCTTAGTTGTTAACAAAGCTTGTTTCATATACCAGTCCGCTCTGTGTGATTCAGTAGGCTCTTCCTCAAAAGTCTGCTCAGCAACACTAACCTCCTCCTCCAGGTTTTTTATGTCATTAAAAATATTACCAAAAGTGTTTAAGTTCCACACTTTTAAGTCCCTCTTTAGTCCTTTTAGTTTGTCATAAAGACCCCTCATGCCTCCCACATAGGGGACTTTATTCCAAGATGTTTTCACAAACTCCAAAAACTGAGGGTGTGAGACCCACATATCTTGAAATTTAAAGGCTTTAGGGCCCTCAACTGAAACCTTTTTACATTGCAGCAGGACAGGAGAATGGTCAGAAGATGTTTTATTGAGGTGTTTGATCTGTACAGCATCATACAGGTTCAAAAAAGCATTATTGATCAAGATTCTGTCCAGTCTACGCCAAACTTTACCGTTAGCCCTGACTCCCATCCAAGTGTAAGAGCTGCCTTGAGCAGGTAAATCAAGCAAATTACAATTAGCAATACAATCTCTGAAATCAGTCATACTCACCATAGGGGGAGATAAAACTCCTTTATGTTCTATATGGCTAGCAATAGCATTGAAATCACCACCAACAATCCATGGTTCAGTATTTGTACAGGCCCAGCTATTAAGAAAGTTCCATAAAATTCTTCTCTCCACATAACTATGATCACCATAGACTGTAGTGAACCAATATGTAGAGGAGGAAGAGACCACCTTGAAATGAGTATACTGCTTACTAACAGAAATGTCAGAGATTTCCATAGATAGAGAATCCCAGAAAATCCATATCTTATTATCAGGGCAACTAAAATGATTATTTAATCCCAGATCCAAAGAAAAAGAAGAAATTTTATCAACACCAACAATAGGTTCAATAACAGCAACGATTTGAATATTCCATTGTCTAATTAGATTCTTCAGCCTTGAACAGGATGATGCAAGGCCACGAACATTCCATATAAGGCAATTCATCATCTATTTAAAGGAGGGAAAGTTTGAGAGAGTTTCTTAACTGCATTTCTGGTCAGCCTAGGAGTATGAGGTATAATCTGAGCAGGCTGCTTCTTCTTCTTTCGTGTGACTCTAATAAAACCATCATCATCAATTTCAGCACTTCCTTTATGACTACATTCTGCCCCTTTGTTAAAGAAGTTTGATTTTTTCAATAAATAGTCCACTTTTTTAGTGAGTGTAGCCTGACAGTCTTTTAATGCATTGATATTCTCCAGGAAGTCACAATCACCATCTGAACAGTATCCCTTGGCACAAAGTGTTGGATCATATTGCTCCCTCTGGATCAATAGCAGCGCCTGGTAATCATCAGCAGCTCTTTCCTTATCACCCAGGTCTATATCCCTTGGCCTAATAGGATGTAGATCAAATTCATCAACCTCTGGTTTAGAGAATGCTGTGTTGCCTTCTTGTTTCTGCTTGTGAGTATCTGTAATTTCAGAGGCAGGTTCCTTAATAGTAATACCCTTGTTAATTACAGATGTTGGTGGTAAAGCTTCATTATATACTTCCTCAACATCCGAATCATCATCAGCCTGCAGGACCTGGTGAATTGTTGAGGAGGATGGAAGGCAGACAAAATCAGAGACCTTATTTTTGCCCTTATCTACTGTGCCCTGCACTCCTTTGACCCCTTTATGATTTTCTGGCAATATTTTCTCCTCATATACTTTGTTTGGCAATGTAACCATCTTCTTGGCTACCCATGTAAGCTTAGTCTCATTCTTAGGCAAATCTCCCATTCCTTGCACCCCGTCTGTAGTAATTGCCTGTTTATCTTTACGTTTGCTGCATGTTGATTCTGAATGGCCAAGATGTAGGCAATAGTTACAGTAAAGAGGCTTGTTTTCGTAGATTACTGATTGGGAAAAACCCATACTCCCACAATTTATCCAAATTTTACTAGGAAGAGCTTGGGAGATATCAACTTCCACATAAATCCTAGCAACCGAGGGCCTGGCCAAAGCTGCCGTAGCAGCATCCAATTTAAGAGGTTTTCCAATCAAAGTTGCAATGTCAAACAAAGCTCGTTTGTCATGTAGATGTATAGGAAGACCCTCAAAAGATAACCAAATTGGAACCACCGGAGACTCCACATTCGGTCTGAAATTAGGAGTCCATTTAGTAACCCGCATCGCGCTACCAAAAATGTCCCAAATCTGGCGGTTCCAGCAGCGTATATAATCTTCCTCAACCTCAAAACGGATCAAAACATGTTTGCTATCCAAAAGACCTAAGTGAAACAGCCCTTTGAAACCGATGAGTTCAAAAGCTTTGCGGAGGGTTTTCATAGATGGTCTATCTTTAAAAAAATAACCTACCAAAGCCAGCTTATGTTTCGAAGCCAAGATTTGGATCTCCTCTTCAGGAAAAGAAATAGCGGGCATTCCCTTGAATTTCGAAAAACTCTTCGTCGTTAATGGTGGATCTCGAGCAGCCACCACCGAGGCGAACGTTTTATTCCCCCAAGCATTAGGCGGAGGAGGAGGAGGGCCCTCCCCCGCATCCCTTGACGTAGACATAGATCGCCGATCAATTCTTCCAATCCTTATACGGAGGGAATATAAAACAAAATGCCGCTTAATTAATACATGGGGGGTGCTATACTTAGTAAACGATACATTAAGCACCTCTTTCGGTTAGTAAGCAGCTTTTTAAGCAGCGTGCGTGTTTACTTCACCCATCTTACTAACTTAACTGTGACTTTAGTAGCGAAGTAAACAGCTCCTTAGTGTTATAATAATTATTGTTACAGCCATATGTATTTGCGCCAGCTAGCTAGTAACAATAAAACCATTTACGCAAA